CTCTCTCTCTCTCTCTCTCTCTCTCTCTCTCTCTCCACCAACAGTACGAATCAACGTTAATTTGGTCTTATGACGTCCGAGTCAAAGGGCGGGGATCCAGATGATGAGGCTAAATTGCTGGTCAAGGGAGAAAACCAAGACCCACTGATAGAAGACTCCAAGTCTAATACTAATAAGGCATCCTTATTTCTTCGCCTGCGTACTAACAACAACTGAAAACCAGAGAAACAGAGAAATATAGGGCCTACGACAATTTTTAAGCAGACCAAAACAACCCCCCCCCCAAATGAATAAAATAAATAAATAAAACAAAATACCCACGTGAGACAACAATCAAATCCCTTGACAAAAAAACCCCACAACAAAACCAACCAACCAACAAAGAAACCAAAGAATCCATCATAGAAAAGGCAGAAAAAAGGCTAGGATTACGTTCTAGCTAAACTAGACTGACGAGATAAGCAAAAAGAGGAACCGATGATTTAAGAGGATCTCAGACAACTTCTAGTCTGGAGTGGACTCTTGCTGGGGGAAAAGTCTCGTCTAACGACAGAGACGACCAACTAATCACGATCGCCAGGGTTGCCGGTTTGTCCCTCTACTTCTGCTGATGACACTCATGCTGAACATTTCCCTTTTGAGCACAGCAGACGACAGAGGATTTCATTACAAAGGTCAACGTCCTGGTACGGCGTCTTAAGGACGTCACACAGGAGATACGCATATCTTATCAGTTTAGTTGTCATCATGGCGTGCCTATCCATGGATATGGCTGATATCAAGAAGTAGGTGTCTGCATCTCTGTCTGGTAATTTTTACTTTCTCTGAAGTCAAAGATCACTTCTGGATGTAGTTTCTGCTTCATAGAATGACATAACGGAGATTGCTTTTGATCTTTTTTTTATACCTCTTTTTGGCCACACTAAGGCCTTTTACAAACGCTGTATCTCTTTCAAGATCCGAAGCCAAAAGTCGTAGAACTCGTAATGCAACCCAAAGCAACTTTAAGCAAGCTATTTATTTCATAAGTTCGGAAAAAAGGAAAACAGATTTATATATTTTTCCGACTAGAGCCTAACGATCCGAGACGCTTTTGTTTTCTCTTCTCTTCACTCTTCTCTCTCTATATATCCCCCTCTCTCTTTATCCCCCCCCTCTCTCTCTCTCTCTCTCTCTCTCTCTCTCTCTCTCTCCCTCTCTCTTTATCTATCTCTCTCTCTCTCTAGGCTCTCACACACTCCCTCTCACACAAACACATGCACTCACATACACCAAAACTCACACGCACACATATTCTGCATCAATATCTATCTGTCTGTCTGTCTGTCTGTCTGTCTGTCTGTCTGTCTGTTTGTCTGTCTGTCTGTCTGTCTGTCTGTCTGTCTGTCTGTCTGTCTGTCTGTCTGTCTTTCTACCCCCCCTCAGCCCCGCTCTCTCTCGTAAATACACACACACGTACACTAACATACACACACATACACACACACACACACACAAACACACGCGCGCGCACCCACAAGGGCCGTGTTACGACCATCTACCCCCCCTCAAACACACACACACACAACACACACACACACACACACACACACACACACACACACACACACACACACACACACACACACACACATTCTAACCCTCGGTGTAGTGACAACATGGGCACAAAAAAAGACAAACTAGCCAACAGATGCGAGCACGCTCACACATACCCATTCACAACACAGAATTTTTTTTTTTTAATGAGTAATTTCGATGCAGGTTGGTTCTCAGCCAACAATAATTCATTTAATGGCACTCATATACGAATAATGTAGTTTCGTGTTTATTCTAATCATTTTCTTCTGGGTGGCTAAAACAAAGAACCCAAATTGTGCCGTGGCTGCATTTATGTTCAGATGGTTCTTTCTGCTAACTCTAACGTCAGTCAGTCACACAGACATCAGACATGAAGCCCCTCCTTTTTTGCCTGCTTGTAAACGTTCTACACCCCCCCAAAAAAAAATATATAAAAAAATAAAAATAATCATAATAATAATAATAAATTAAATGACCACAATTAGGTCTTTTATACGGCAAACTCTGATTGATAAGAATTCGACATCTCAACAAATAGAAGGATATAACTCCACCAAACAATATTCGAACTCACATCTTCTGTGGGGTGCGGAGAAGTGGGTTTATTGTTACACTACAGACACCAGCACTCGCACTCAGACACATACTGTACTTCTAACGGGTGCATTGTCGTGTACAATAATCAAAACGTGATAAGAGTCGACTTGACACTCTCCCACGCTTTTACTCCTGTGAACTGGGGAAGTTAACTGGCGTCTGTGGTGTAGTGTTTAAACTCTTCGTAGTCTCACGCAGGAGACCCGATTTCGCTTCCCGAATGAGAAAAACGTTCATTTAGTATCCTGGTCTGTCTGCTGCGATGCTGTATTCTTCTCAGCCCAGGTTGGCTCTGACAAGCCTTTTAAATGATCTAAATTGTGTCGCTGGGGACATAAAAAAGCACTTACATAAAAACAAAAATCTGGTGAAGTATCTCCTTTGGGACTTTTTATGAGGAATAGCGACATTTCTCAGGAAACAGAATAGGCTTTGGGGTTGGGTTGGGGGCGTGGCGTGGAAAGCGGAA